GATGGTGATAAGTTAATATCCTGATTGATCATAATCACAATGATCCCCCCGATGGTGATAAGTTAATATCCTGATTGATCATAATCACAATGATCCCCCTGATGGTGATAAGTTAATATCCTGATTGATCATAATCACAATGATCCCCCTGATGGTGATAAGTTAATATCCTGATTGATCATAATCACAATGATCCCCCTGATGGTGATAAGTTAATATCCTGATTGATCATAATCACAATGATCCCCCTGATGGTGATAAGTTAATATCCTGATTGATCATAATCACAATGATCCCCCTGATGGTGATAAGTTAATATCCTGATTGATCATAATCACAATGATCCCCCTGATGGTGATAAGTTAATATCCTGATTGATCATAATCACAATGATCCCCCTGATGGTGATAAGTTAATATCCTGATTGATCATAATCACAATGATCCCCCTGATGGTGATAAGTTAATATCCTGATTGATCATAATCACAATGATCCCCCTGATGGTGATAAGTTAATATCCTGATTGATCATAATCACAATGATCCCTCTGACTAATTTAAAATAGGTTTAAAATAAATGCACAGCAGAAGTGTTCTACTCTGAGCTAGAGGAAATAAAATCTGGAACACAGATTATACACATCACATCAGTTACATGATTATTACAACATCAGTAATATTTTAGTTACATGATTATTACAACATCAGTGATATTTTAGTAATGCATTCTTCCATACACTGAAAATCTCTTACTTTATACTCGCCCTAACACTGGGCCTCCATTCATACTCGCCCTAACACTGGGGATCCAATCTAACTGGTAGGTTTTAGGTTTCGGTCATAGCTGGTGTCAGGATCACTCCCTGGACAGCAATGTAAGACTGGTGTCAGGATCACTCCCTGGACAGCAATGTAAGACTCCTGTGTCATCATGGGGTCCTAGTTCACTCTCTCACAGTCACTCCTGTGTCATCATGGGGTCCTAGTTCACTCTCTCTCAGTCACTCCTGTGTCATTAATGTTTATGTGCTGAGCTAGGATCAGACAGAAGCTGTCTACTTTTCCTCTTAGTTGTTCTCCTTAGAGTCATGTAGCTTGATACACTTCCTTGAACCAACCCAGTCAAAGCACCTTTAGGAAAGAAATGAGTCCTGCTGCCCTCTGAGCCAGCTAAAGGACTGTTTTGAACACAGACACCTCCAAACACATGCGAGGCATGACCTGATATGCCGAGGGAAGAATGGGGAATGAGTGGACTAAGCTTGGCCTCGCCCCCAGATGATCCTGGTGAGGACACACCCGAGGATGACCTACTGTCCTGACTACAGACAGCTTCACGCAGGGGAGACAACTGTTGATATCCCACATTAGCCAGGTGTGCAGCACTCTGCCAGTCCTGAGCACCATTAGACAGTTCTTCACATTTTATACCTTCACTTGAGTCTGGAAAACAAAAGGAAAATCGAGGTCTTTTATAAACAAAACCATCAACAAAGCACAAAATCTAAATTTAAACCATCATGAAACTGTTCAACTTGCTATAGATGTTTATAACCAATGGATTTATATAACTACTATTTATATTTACCTGTGGTGTTACATAGTGTAGCAAGCTGAACTACTGTCTATAGAAAAATTTAATACTAAAAAATTGAATTGATTTATCTAAACACAAATCATGTTTATATTGTATTGGTGGGTTAGTACCTCAGCCTAGCTGAGCATATGACTGTCAGAGTTATCTCCCCTATAACTTTCTCTTTCTATCTCAAATTTCATGGAAAGAACAATCATATTTTGTCAAAACAAATTATTTTTTCGCTATTTTAAAATTTTGAATTTGGCGTTATGGTGGCGGTGGTAATGCCTGCCATTGCCACGTGGCAGTCTTTTGAGGCAACACCTGTACTGCTTCAGTGCAAGTTTTTACCATATTGACCAGTCGTCATTAAATGAAAAGCTTCACTTGAACTAAGTTTGTAAATCAATGCAAATTTTAACCATATTGACAAGTTTTCATTCAATGAAAAATATTTCACTTGAGCTAAGTTTGTAAAGTTACAAATTGTACTTGCAATTTAATAGCATAATTAATTTGAAGTGTACAGCTGTTCCCAGTGTTCTCTTGAATATAAAAAAAATCTAATAGGACCAATTATTGTTGAATAAATAATTGGTAAGGTAGGAAAAATGAGGTGTACATCTGTTTCCAGTGTTCAATTAATTTGTCCTACATATTTCAGGTGAGCCTGATCCTGCTGTAGGCCCTACTATATTTATACCAAACTAGAAAACTAACAGGTGAGCGTGATCCTGCTGTAGGCCCTACTGTGTTTATACCAAACTAGGTACCTAACAGGTGAGCGTGATCCTGTTGTAGGCCCTACTGTATTTATACCAAACTAGGTACCTAACAGGTAAGCGTGATCCTGCTGTAGGCCCTTCTGTATTTATACCAAACTAGGTACCTAACAGGTAAGCGTGATCCTGCTGTAGGCCCT